TTCGGGCCCCTGCCCACCCAGACCCCCACGCACACCGCCTCCTCGCGCACGCCACAGCACGCGTTAAGCAGCACGGCTTTGAGAATAAATGATTTTACTTCTAAGAGTGGCTGGAACCAAGTGACCGGCACGTGCCCCGACCGCACTCGGGGTTCCCCTTCCAGCAGAGCCGGCAGGGCTGCAGCCTGGGGAGGGGATCCCATCCACCCTGGCCGGGAGGGTAGGACACCTGTGGGGGCACAGGACTCCCTCCATCCCTTCCGGGTGCCCGGGCAGCTCGGAGGGGAGGCCGAGGGGCTGAGTGACGGTTGGGGACAGGTCCGCACAGGGGCCCCAGATCCCACCTGGCGACCTGGCCGGGCCCACCCCCTGGGATGGAGGCGGCCTCCCTGGCTCTGCCCACCATCTGCGCCCACCTGTGACTCGGGCGCCCCCTGGAGGCAGTAGGGAGGCGCTGTCTCCAGCAAATGCCCCAAATTATCTCTCAGCCCCGGGATCCCTCGGGGAGAAAAAAAGGCAGGGACCACCCATCCTTGCTGCCTGGGCCACAGCCCTCCCCTGGCTCCCAGGAGGCCCTGAGCATGCCTCCCCCGCCCCCCACTAGGAGGGAGCAGGCAGGAGGCGGCGAGGACTGGAGACCCAGCCCACGCACCGGCCCTGAAGAGGCACAGGGCTGACCTCACCACCTGGCTGAACAGGCAGTTTATTAGGGTTCGCACTGTCCCTGGCTGCTGCGCTGACCCTGGCCCAGCCACGGCGTCGCTGGCAACATGATACAGAAACAGAGAACCCAGCGGGGTGCAGACGGGAGTGCACAGCTCCCCGCAGCTCACGCCGGGGACAGGGCCGGGTGCCCGGCTGGCTACAGAGAGGGGGGGCCGGAATGACCCCGGGCCACCTTCACGACCCCATCTCAGGCTCTTTGGTTATCCATGGGGCGTACGTGTGCCCAGACGGGGGCGGTGGTGCGTGCTCAGAGGGGGGTCTTCCACTGTCCCCTCTCCCTGTTACCTGAGAGTCACCAAACCAGTGGCCCTGGAGGGACACCATTCCAACACGTGATCTCGCTACAAGGCACGGGGACCTCATCCAGCGACGGGCAGAAGGCGACGGGCAATGAGCAGGACCCGGGACCCCCCAGCAAGGGTCCGGGTTGCACCCGGTCCCGCCCCAAACCCCTCAGCCAAGGGCTGGAGCCCCCTCCCGGCTGGTCTTCAGAGCAGGGGCGGCTTTGAAACGTGGACGGGAGTCCTGGACTTGGTCGGGGTCCGTGTCAAGCTACATCTCCACCTGCGTCTCCTCACCTCCCGGCTCCGAGCCGGGCCCGG